ACACCCCCAAACCGGCAAGCCCCAAAAGCCAGACCCCGCCCAGGCAGCCCCCCCTGGCCATACCTCCTTGCAGCCGGCGTTGTCAGCGAGCTCGTAGTTGCTGGCATGCAGCGGCTGCCCAGCGTTGACGGGGTTCAGGATGACTTTGTCTCCCACGACTACCTGGGGAGCAAAATGAGAAAGGAGGGAGCGAGGATGAGCCCGGGCGTCTGGCGGGGAGACCAGCCTTGGCAGGTGGCACGGACGGCGCTTTCCGCACAGCTTCATTTAGGGATTTCTCGGCCCCGAGCTCACGTTATCTCCATTGCTCCTCAGCTTCCAGAAGGGCTGGATGAAGAGCCAGGAGCCCTCGTTGCCGGTGGCATCCAGCGTCACCCTCATGGCGTTTTTCTCGAGCAGGGCTGGCAGTCGCTTGTTCACCGTCAGGTACTTGTTGCTCTTCATGTGCAGGAGCTGGAAAAGCAAGTGCTGGGCTGAGCCGTGGTGGCGCAGCCCCTCAAGGTCCCCAGCTGCCTGACTCGCATGTGCTGGATCTGTGCATCCCCCCGAAATAGCCCGGCCGGACGTACCTGTATGACGCTGCCGTACTTCACCACGTCACCATGCACTTTTTTATTCTCTGTCTCATTCTGCTTCTGCTCCATCTGGGCTGCATGCTGAAGGTCAAAAAGAGAATTGCTGAGTGTAGCAGCACCTTCCTCACTCCCTGGGAAGAAAGTGCCCAGAGGGGCCACCCATATCCTCAGCCATGGGGAGGATGGGACAGGCTGGGGTGCAGCATCAGCATCCCTCTGCTCCCCAAACACAGGCCAGAGCTCTAACATAGAATCACAGGATACGTTGGGCTGGAATGGACCTTTAAAGGTCACCTACTCCAAACATGGTCCCCAGCATCCAAGAGTTCAGCCTGGGACCACGGCGTGGCCCCTGAGCGGCTGTAGGAAGTCCAGGCAAGCTTTAAACCAAAGACTTAAAAATAAGAGCAGGGACAAAACAGCAGGAAAAGTTCCCTAAAGCCCCAGCAGGTCTTACAAAGCAGCACCAAAAGGGGACTCTGTACACGGGCCAGGGGCTGAGGCAACGCACCCATCTCAGCCCCGAGACTGAAGAGCAGAAAGCACTGTTGCCGTGCCTGGAGACGGCTGCAGGTCCAGACGTGCTGCAGAGGACGCGGCAGGAAGAAGCTTCGCCC